AGTTCCAGCCATGAGCAAATAGTGAACACACAAACAAAACTCCACAGTACATTTTTATAATAAAATGACCAATAAATTTTTTATAGCAAAATGATAATCAATGAAACACTAAAAAACAATAAAAAATATATTTTTATAGTAAAATTACCAAATATGTCATGACTAATAAAATTATATATCTAAAAAAAACATACCTTTAACCTAAAAGCACAAAATTACATACAGAATATCTGTAGTTGAAAGCATAGATTACGTACAAAATATTTATATTATGCGTTAAATAACTGATAGTATGTAACATGTAGATCAACAAAATTAAACAATCAATGTTTCTTTTTTTCTCTCTTTGTTTCTTTTTCTTTCAATACTTCTCTTTTTCTCAATTTATATATCTTTATCTTGCCCCCTCTTTATATTTCGTTTTTTTTTCTCTCTCATTTTTTTTTCATTGCTATCTATTTCTCCCATTCTCTCGGGCGTACGGCCGTATCACATTGAAACACCGGCTGCCTTATGAACACCCAAGTTAAGCAACGTCGAGCCTGGTAAGATCCTAGATGGCTGAAAGTTTGGCAATAGCAATTACTTTAAGTTTGGATGAGACGGAGGTGTAATGGATGATGTCTCGGAATTGGTAATGGAGAGACGTGTTCCAATTCCAGGTGGGTTTCGTTCTATTCACTTACGCGCAAATGGGAAAGGTATGAACTTCCCCCTATTCTCCCTCAGCTATGAGTTTAAGTATAAGACTTCTACCATTAAACCGTTAGTGTCCCCCAACGAATCCAAATTTCTTGAAAACTTAAAATTTCTGATTTTAATTAACCTGCAAAATATTGATCAGCCGTAGGAAGTGAATCAATCAATCATTCCCCCCTCTCTATATTTTTCATTATTTTTTGACTGAATTTCTTGGAGGAGGAGTTATTATTTACACTATTTATGTCCAAACTATTTTCCCCATCTTTGTTGTTTTTACCACAACTTTTCGGCCATTGTGCATTCCATCCTTAATCTAGTGTATATTGATCAGGGTAATTACAGGTGGGCTAAACAGATCGATATACACCTGAGGAAGGCCCGGGTGAGAGTACAACGGTCAAAATTTGACGTAAAAACAAAAAGATGAGAACAATTGTTTGAATAAATAAATAATTTTTCATTATAGATTTGTTTACTTTTTCTCCCTTAAATATTATTTTTCTTTGTCCCTTTGTATAACTTTCTTTCTCTCTCTCTCTCTCTCTATATATATATATATATATATATATATTTCTTTTTTTTTCTCTATATTTTCCCATTATTTCTCTAATTATCAATCCTGGTTTCAGATCTGCGGTTGATGTAACCATCATGTTCAGTTAGTGTACTGCCCATGTCGCGGGGAATCGAATCGGAGAGTCGAGTTCAAATTCAAGCTTAGCTTGTTACTTTCGCACACATGCCCTTGGGAAAGGCATGAATCCATCTTTTCTTTCCACATCTAGCCTCTTGTATAAAACCACGTTAAGAAAAGGAAAATACTAAATTCAGGAATGTGTATCGTTTCCAAGAATGCATGGCAAGTTCGAAAGATATTGAAGAAAAGGAATCTATTGAGATCCTTGATCGCATACATCCTGATTTGTGATCTCATTTAAAGTATGGCGTTATGTTTTTTTTCTTCAAATAATACAATGCTCTTTCGCATTTAGTTTCTTCTTGTCGAGTCCATAGAGATAAAAAAAAATTAATTATACTCCCACAAATAATAAATTTACTATAGTAATTAAAATTAGGATTAATACAATGTAAATTTTCTAAACCAATGAGAATCACTCCCACTCTTCTAATCTACCACGATATAAACACGGAACATCTTCACAGTTGGAGAAGTTGTCAGCACGTGTATTGGCCCAAATTTCGGATATTTTCTTTTTCAGGATAAAGCGATTATTATAACGGTCTGTTTTTGATTTATAAAATGTGGTAGACATAATACCCCAGAACTAGAGTCGAATGGCTGAAATGGGCAACAGGTCTTGCCTTATTCCCGTCTTTGTCCCGGAAAGCAGGGCCTCGATTTGAGAGAAAGCACGTACGCCGTCCCGTCAAAAGAGACCATTTTTCTTTGTTGTCCGACAAGAAATTGGTTCATTAGCAACTGTGTATAATATTAGCTTGGTTAAACGGAATCGAGGAGAGACATCCGTGTGTCATTCTGAAGTGCCCGTATGAGTAATTTGTCTATCATCCGGGCGAGTGATTGGTGATTCCCCAAGTAGACCAACTTGGAATGAGAGAGGTCTTCTATTGGGTGACATCGTGCTATACGCATAGTTGTGATAGTCGTAGCGAACGACGTATCGATATACGGAAGTGAACAACGATAAATACCAAGAAACCGGTGTAGAGGGAGAAACGCCCATTCTGAAATTACGCCCCAAAAGAGAGTGGATAACTTCTTTTGACCACGTAAAACATACATATTTACACCATGACAAAAAAGTGTGACATCTATACATATATAAAAGGATTTATTATCAGAAGGATTTGATTTTTCGGTAGATATATGAAAGTTCTTGGCTGTTAAAAGTTTCCGATATTTGTGTTGTTCTTGATGAATGAAAGAATTT